TGTTCAGACAGCCTTAGGAGAGGCTCGGAATGGAAAGGGAAACGTCGAGGAGATATCACTGTAGGATTTTCGCATGGAAAACGCCTTGCAGAAAGCCCCTTGTGTTAAGCTCGTTTGACGCTGCGCGCGCACGGACTAAGCTTCGGGCGTAGATTAATTAAATCCGCATCAAAGTCGATGCGCGAGAGCGTGCGAATTGCTTTCCTCGATGTTGCTGTTCGTTTCCAATTCATTTTCCTCAAGTGCGTCCTTCCCTTTGGAATTGCGCTCGCTTGTTATTTATAAAATCGCAATTTTAGACGCCCTATCGAGTATACATTCTTACAGATCTCGTAATTACGTTTCGTAATACGAAAGGAATGGAATTACGTGAATTATACCACGTAAACCACGGCAAATTATTCTACATGCAATATGTACATATCAATTTGTACGAAATTACTCGAAAATGCAACTTGTGAATCTAGGTTTCGTAATTATATCACCGTTAAATCAATAATCTTAAATTCTCTATTCATTTCGTCAAATCGAAATTTCTGTAAAATTAAATTTAAAAAAATTGCAAACGAAATGAAAGTGATGCGCAAAATCGGTGGTTTAGAAAATTGCTGGTTTTAACATGTTGATGCGATTAAAAATTATCACGCTGCTAGATTCATGTTCTAGGATTAATTGATTGCGGTTAAAAGAAAGGATCAATACCCTTCTTCCAAATTGCGCGTAATGCAGGCGACATGCGATAACAATTAAATGTCGCATTTGGATGACGATGCGGCGAGCATAGTAATGCTCGCGCAACGTTTAATGGCATCGCCAATAATTTAGTTCAATTTACTTTGCAAAGCTGCGTATCCAGGCAAATTAAATGGGGATCATAGCATGTCGTGCATCATCCGATCTGCGACGGTCCGTGACGGGCGATGATACCCCGGAGAGCTTAATTTCTACGAGACTCTGGGGGCGATATTTCGCTGGACTTTTGCGCGACTATGGACAGCACACCTGGTATATTTTCTCTCTGCTCTTTAATCCAGGATCCATCCCGATCACTCCGGCAATCCCTCCATAACTTGGCAGAGAAGATTATTTATTGAACACGGAGCCACGTTGAACGTCAAAGTAGAGGCTATATCCGTGATAAATAAATGAAAAACCAAGCGAGACGTTTGCCTTGATTTTCGGCGGAGAAGAAAGATGAATAAATGCGCTCTGATATCTTAAATCGATGATACTTTAAATGTTTATAAAATATAAGTCTTCATTGAAATACTCTTCCTAAGTACCTTTTGCTTCCTTGGGACATTTTTTTATTTGCGAGATGAGCGATGAAGGTATCTCTTTTAATCTCCTTTAAGGAAAGACGTCATATTTAAACATCTAGATAATTCAATGTAATTAGCTAACTGTAAATTAGCTATAACTGTAAGACGTAAGTTTTGTTTTTCTTTATGTTAATATTATTATTTGTTATCGCAATATTAGTTTACTACAATTTGTTATGTCTTCTTCAAGATAGAAAATAAAACGTTAATATATCAGATTTCCATATTTTTATATAACATACGTTCTCTTTTTATTTTCTTTTAATAAAAGTATGACAAAGTTATATTTTTGTACGACATATAAATTGCTATTTTTGATTCCATGATATACAAAAAAATTAATTAAGTTAAATTATCAAATCATGTATTCCTTTTCAGGGTATAAAATAAGATGCAGACATTGACACGTTCCAATATATTTTTATTTCATGTCGGATTCGCGATTGTTGAAAAGCAAAAAGACGTTCGTAGAATTATTCGTCAATCCACAAAAATCGTTTTTTCGTGCGGAGAGACGAGAGAGAGAGAGAGAGAGAGAGAGAGAGAGAGAGAGAGAGAGAGAGAGGAGGAGAAGA